AATGCCATCAACAAATCGCGGTACAGAGGTAGCTTGAAGTTCGAAGTTAAGGTCATAAGATAAGGTGTGATTCCGGGGAAATGCTGAGAGAATTTAGTTCCTAGGGAAGGCTCAGTAAGAAGAAATGGGCTGGAATGAAAGAAGGATCTTGTACCATCTGTCCCAAATGTTGCAATCGCCCCCCTATATAACCTTTGAGAAGACATTTCATCTTAATAGAGAATCCTTACATTCCAATAATACCTGAATGAATGGTTCAGTATCTGGATGCTTCAGAATAGGGCCACTTACCATGTGGGTGGTAGCCGAAGAGATAGGGTCTGTCTGGGGGTAGGTCTACTTCCTATTCAGGAGTGAATATAATAGAACTTCGATTATGTGTGAGGGTAGCTAGCACCTTTTTGATTCTGCAAGCAAGGGTTGGTTCAGGTTTAGGCAACGGGAGTAGCTGATGAAGTCGACGTACGATGCAGGAAAGTAACTTGCATAATAGTCCCATATCCTCCATGATCTCACCCATAGGCTCCTTCGGCCTCCTTTCTCTGGAGCTTCGTCGAAAGTCACCCAGATGACATAGACCAAAATTAACGGCCATAGAGGAGGAAAGGCACTATATGTAACAAAACATCATCAGCAATTCTAAATAATGTTCGCCAGTCGACTGGAGAGACTGACCACATCATTAGAAAGAGCGCCTGTGAAATTGGAATCATGCAAACAACGAACGCAACAGCCGCCGTTTGCAGTCTACGGTGGTGTGGAACATTGACCGGTGCAAACCTAGGAGTGATAGATGTTTTAGCACTTCTCATACACCGAGGCGTTTATGGCTTACTCGATTTCAGTGAGACTGTGGCCAAGAGGAGATATCTTCAGTCGCTTCGATAGGTTCGTAGCAGAAAGACTTTTTAGCAGCGTTGTAGTTTTCGGAGGATCGATTTCGTGGTCCTGTTCCATTGATTTAGGAGCTGACGGTGTAATCGCAATCTTGAAGAAGTCGGCTCAAAGTTACCCGTCCCTTCA